CCCCACGCCGCCAGCTACCGGCCAATGAGCGCGCGGGGCCGCGGCGATCGCCAAGTATGGAGCGCGGCGCGGGGGGCGGGGCTCCGAGTGGGGAAAGGGGCGTGGTCTGGTTGGGGGCGGGGCCTGCCTGGGCGGGGCGGGGCACGGCACTGCTGGGCGTCCGGGGCGGACCCGGGGCGAATCCCGGGAGTTGTGTGTCCCTCCGACTTCCAGCTCGTGATGGAGTGGCAGCAGGGCACCGGGTGAACCCGGTCCACTGGTCCCCGGGGCGGGGGATGCGGAAGGTGCTGAGGCTGGGAGGGGACAGTCCTTCCGTGCCCCGCCCGGTGCACGCGCTCCCGCCTTCGGACCCGGAACTGGTGCGCCGGGCCCTGCCAGCCCAGCCCAGCCAAGGGAGAGCTAGCGGAACCTGCGGTGGGATCCCTGCGCTGCTACTGGCTGCTGGTGGGATCCGGAGCGCGACACTGCCCCTGAGTCCAGTCTGCGCGGTTAAAGAGCTTCGGGCCGCCTCCCGTTAATGAACGCCTACTGCTAAGGCCCAGGCCTTGTTTGGGGTAGAAAACATGACAGGTGGATGAGCCATAAAGATCCCTGCCCTCATCTCCTTGCTACCTGACAGGGTAGTTGTGAGGAAGACACAGGTAAAAAACAGCGGGGCCCAATAAATGTTAGCTGTTTTATAGATAGATAGATAGATAGATAGATAGATAGATAGATAGATAGATAGTCATATACTCATATATGTATATATACCCTGTTATATATGTATATATAATGTGATATATATTATATATGGTGTGTGTACATAGATTTCTTGAGACAGGGTCTCATATGTAAGCCAGGCTGGCCTGGAACTCACTGTGTAGACCAGGCTGGCCTCCTGTTCACAAAGATCATCCTGAGTGCTGGGATTAAAGGCTGTGCCACCATGCTGGACCTAGGTATACTTTATCACATTAGCTAAAGAGAATCAGTCCATTTGATTAATGGAGTGCTTTCTCATTCCACATAGTGACTCAGAAATTCCTCTTTTTTTCCAGGACTGAAAATTGAACCTAGGGCTTCAAGTGCTCTACCACTGAACTACAGCCCCAGCCCTAGAAATTTCCTTCATTCAGTATGTATTTGTTGAGCTTTCTCTAGAACACAGAAGACCTAAAGTGCAAGTCCTGCTGATAAAACCTACCCTACCTGGCTTGCTCACCTTCTGTTTATAATCAAATCAGGTCACAGGAGAGGGGACTAATAAAATGCATATGTGGCAGACTGTGTCCCAGGCCTTTGAGTTCATAGTCAAGTGAAAGATTGCAGGGAGAGCCACTGACAGATCATTCTGGTAAGTCCCTCAAGAATGGCTTAGACCAGTATTACAGGAGTTCAGAGAAGGGAGTGGCGCTTAGGAAGTCGTTACTCGGTAAATATTATTGTGCAGCTATTGGCCAATCACTGTGGTGTCACAGTCATTAGCAAAACAACCCATACTAGCTTGGGGCTGGGGCTTCCAAGCTGGAACGAAACCAAAGCCTCTTGCATGCTGGGTGAATAAGTGCTCTCCACTGAGTAAAGTCCCTTTACTGATCTTGAATGCTGTCAGGAGACAATCACTTCTCTGGTAAAGAAGGTAAGATACAAGGTACACAAGACTGAGGGTGCAAGTGGGCAGGCCAGCACTGTGTGGAGGTGGTTTGCCGGATTGTCCAGGAGGGCCTTAGGAAGGAGCATTTATCATGCAGAACAGCAAGGTCAGAGACACCCCTCACCCCCGCAGACCGCAGTGTGTCTACAAACAGCGAGATCAATGTGGCCAGCCTGGATTGAGTTTTAGGAACAGCAACAAACTGGTCCTAGGTTCCAGAAAGACTATGTGTTCTTCTGTGCCTACTGAGTTCTGGACTATAGGGTAACTAGAGCCTTAGAAAGCTATTGGTATGTTGCAGGTATTTTTACTAATAAAAAGCATTGTCAGCCAGGTGTGATGGCACATTGCTTTAATCTCAGCACTCTAGGCAGAGGTAGGCAGATCTCTGTGAATTGGAGGCCAACCTGGTCTGCATACTGAATTCCAGGCCAGCTGGTGCTACATAGACCCTGTCTCAAAAAAGAAAAATAAAAAGCAATGTCTAGGGAGAAGGCTCAGTTGGTAAAGTGCTGAGGACCTGAGTTTGCTCCCTAGAACCCACATGAAAGCCTGGCACAGTGGCATGTACTTGTAATCTCAGCACTGAGGGGGATTAAAATAGGCAGGCCCTGCCGGCACTCAAGATCCAGTCAGGGACTTCACTCAGTGGAGAGCACTTTCCCAGCATACAGGAGGCTCTTGGTTCTATCCATCTCTGAAGCCCTACCCCACCCTGGGGCTTGCTGGCCAATCAATTTGGCTTATGTGGTAAAGATCCAAGCTAAAATGTGGACAATGTCTGAGGAATAACATGGAATATCACCAGGGGTTGTCCTCTGTCCTCTACACACATGCATACCTGCATACAACACACAGACACAGAAAATATTTGATTTAGTTTGGTTTTTGTTTGTGAGACAGGGTCTCACTATGTTAAAAACTGGCTGACCTGGAGCTCACTATGTAGACCAGGCTGGCCCGAACTCACAGAGATCCACCTGCCTCTCAAATTTAACTAACTAACTAACTAACTAATTAACTAACTAACTAACTAGAGGGGGGGAGAGAGAGATCAAAGAAGAACCCAACACAGACCTCTTGTCCTCCATATGAATACTCAGAAGTAAGCACACCCAGGAGCATGCACACACACACACACACACACACACACACACACACACGTTCACCATGCTCACTAAGAAAAAAATCAAATCCAAAAAAGCACTGATATGATGCTTTCTTTGTGATAGACACTGTTAAGTCCTTTACCAGGCCTTATAACAGGTCCCCCAAAAGGTAAGGAACCTCTCCAAGGTCCTGCAGCAGAAGTGAAGGACTGGAAGCACTGGAGAAGGCAGGAAGGACCCCATCTAGAGGTTTGATGGTGGGGTGCTGGTGGCAAGGGCATAGGAGAGAGTCCAACATGCTAAGGTTTTCAGATTATCAACTTTGAAAGCCATTGATTGAATTGGGCATGACTATAGGGGGAATGCGAGTGGGGAGTAGGACGAGAAGACTCTGGGGCAAGTTGTATATGAGATACCTTTTGGAGATTTCACTGGAGAGGTCCAGTAAATACGTACTTGGGTATGGAAATCTGCAGCTCATAAATAGCATTTAAAGGTATTTAAAAGCATAAGACTTTGGGATGTGCTCACTTGTGGGTGAATGTAGAGGAAGGAGGTCAAGAAGAAAATGAGCGAAGAAGAGAGTCCCTTCTGGAAGCCAAAAGATAAGAGTGTGAAAGAAGACTGGAAGAAAGCCTCTTTCAAAGTGCACTGTCTACAGTTTCTCTTTTAATCCTCCTTGTGACCCTATGAGCACCTGTGAAATCCTGGGTTTAATCTCTAGCACTGCAAAAATAAGTAAATAAATAATCTAACTACTTTAATAACTGAAGAACTATGTATTAATTTCTTTTATTGTCACCATGACCAAATATCTGACAGAAACAACTTAAGAGAGAATTTTCTTTTCATGGTTCAGCGTATGATTCTTTCACGGCAGGGAAGGTATGGCAACTAGAACAGAGGAAACAGGACTGGAAGCAGGGCCAGGCTTTAATCCTCAGAGGCCTGTCCCCAGTGACCCTCTACTAGCCAGACCCAACTTTCCCAAACAGCACCACCAATTGGAGAACAATTGCTTAAACATACAGGCCTGTGGAGACCGTTCACTTTCACATGGAAACCATTCCCACCTCAGGAGCAGGCCCAGATGAATCAAGGTGAAGGAGCTAAACAATCACCAGACCCTGGGATTTCTAAACTGGAGAGTTGTCTATGTTTTCTCCCTCCACTTTATAACCCCGTTCTCTTCCCTCACCCATTGAAACACCTCCAACGTCACCCATCATTAACATGTGAGAAATCATTTTTTCTCTCTCTCACTTCACCCCCACTGATCGCCCAGGAGCAGTTAGCACCGCTGGCTTCCTTCTCTTGCAGGTCTTCCCTTGGTGAACCTCCATGGCATCTCACGACTCTCCGGGTCTTAGTCCTGTGTCTAGGATTCTCCTCCACTCCTCTACTGTGTTCTTGGCAAACCCTCCCCCTTTATTATTATGATTTTTTTTTTTTTTTTTTTGGAGACAAAGTGTCCCTGTAACCCCAGCTGGCCTAAAACTCCCTGTATAGATCAGGCTGGCCTTGATCTCACAGCCATTCGCCTGCCTCTTGTCTCTCCAGGGCTAGGATTAAAGGCGTGCACCACCATTACCACCATATACAGCCTCAGACCCATCTTCTTAACCACTAAATGGTGGGGCTCTTTGAGCTGGGCAGCAGGATCTCTCCTCACCCTGAGTGTTCTCTGGACACAGTCTCATCTTTGGTCATGGATGGCTTCGGCTGTCTCAGTCCTGAGCCACTTGCTCTAGAATGGTGAAGATGAGGAGCTGGTAATTGGAGGAAAGTGGACTGTTACCAGAAGGAGAAAGGGATGCTGAAGAGTAGGAAGAATTTAAAAAGAAGCATCACCACTCTAAGCATTCTGGGTAAGCTTATACAAATGAGGGGCTGGGAATATGGCTTAGCTGGTACAGTGCCTGCCTACCATGCATGAAACCCTAGGTTCAATCTCCAGCACCATAAGGAAGTTAGAATGGTAGCCGAGCCCTATCCCAGCATGTGAGAGATAGAGGCAGGATGATCAGGAGTAAGATCATCCTAGGCTACACAGCAAGCTCAAGGGCAACTGGGATTTGAAGGAAAAAGAAAAAGCCTATGCGTAAAAGAGGCTTCTATTGAGTCTCAGAAATTTCTAGTTATTAGATCCTTAAGTAGAATTGAGTGCAAGCAAAAAGCTGCTGATTTCTTTTGAAGACAGAAAACTGGTTTGTAGAGGAAGCAGCCTCTGCTAGACTGCTTAGATCAACATTTTCCACCCCTTAGCATCTTGACAGAACATGTAGCGAGACTGGAAGGTGGACAGACCACCGCAGACCACTTCTGTTTAATAGAGCCTGGGGCTGCAGTGCCAAGTGGATGCTTTACTCTGAAGCTAGACAGTCATCCCCGAGTTTCTGTTTGGCTTTTCTGACAGGTACCTGGGACAACTCCCAGCTGCCTTCTGCTGGATTGGAAGCATCTTGTCCATCTGGGGGGTCTTGATCAGCCCTGTAGAAAGGCCTGTCACATGAGAGTCAGCTGTTGGAGTTTTTATATGCACATTTGGGGAAAATTCAGGTTAGTGTGTTAAGCTGGCCAGCCAGCCAGTCACCAGGGTTGGGCTGACTCTCCTTGGGTTCAGAATAAGCAACCCCTGCCCCTCCAGGTAGTGTTCTCCAACACACCCTCAGAAGCTGGGCTTGGGGCCTCCTCCTGCAGAGCGTTCCCATGGAAACCATGTACTTTGTTCACTTTATCTCTCACTTTTTCCCTTGCCATTTGTCCCTAATGTTCTATAGGCTCCTTGGGGCTGGGATTGTGAGTCACCCAGTAACCATTAGCACAGCTCCTGAGATACAGTACAGTGTGAATAGAGCCTGCCAAATGGTGAGCTGGAAAAACTCCAGTCATCCAGGATGCAAACTGTGGTCAGCCCCAGCTCCTCCCATCCCTCCTTTCGATTAGACATTGCAGTGTCAGCCAGCTGAGGAGGTGACAGGACTCAGCAATCTGGTGAAAGGCTGGGAATAGTCAGAGCACCTGTAGTCTCCATTACAGGAAGCTGAGGCTAGAGGATCACTTAAATCCATGAGTTCAAGGCCACCCTGGGCAAGAGCGCAAGACCCTGTCTCCTTAAGATGTAACAAAACAAACAAAATAAAAACTTGGAAACAAAAAAAATTAAAATTATATATATCTATCTACCTATATATATATGAAGGGCCAGGTGTGTGGCGGTGCATACCTTTAACTGAAGCACTTGGGAGGCAGAGGTAGGCGGATCTCTGTGACATCAAGGCCAGCCTGGTCTACATAGGGAGTTCCAGCTCAGCTGGGGCTACAGGGAGACTCTGCCTCAAAACAAACAAACAAAAAAACTAACAAAAAATTGAAATATATATGAAATAGAGGTTTGGGTATAGGTCAGTTGGTAGAGTGCTTGCCCAGCAGGCACCAAGCCCTGGTTCCATCCCCAGTACGGAATAAACTGGACATGGTTGCACACATCTGTAATGTTAGCCCTTGGGAGGCACAGGC